GCAGGGATCTTCTCAGGAGTCTCAGGGGGCCTCCGGTATCAGTCGGTACTGGCAGTTCCGAACGTGCGCGTCTCCCACCATATATTACCGGGAGATTACCGGAGCGCTGTCTCTGCTGCTCCCGACTAATCCTGCCCTCGGGGAGAGGTAGCGGCGCGCTGACGTCACTCTATCAATCCAGCAGCAAGCTGTCCACTATACACGCCCCGGGCCATGGACACAAATCCCCTGGAGGCAGTGCGCGCACACACACACACACACACACACACACACACACACACACACACACACACACACACACACACACACACACACACACACACTTTGTCACCTATTTTTGGAGCAAAATCAGCAGTGTGTGGACCTACACTGAACAACGTGAACCTTCATTTTATGAGATGGAGGTACTGACCACTGAAAAAAGGAAAGGAGCATCATCAGATCTCATCAAAGATCAGTAAGTTGACATTGTTTCCATATACAAATATGTGTAAGTTTATATTGATTTTTTAGCAGGTATACTATAATGTTTACCATATGCACTATCTTAGTTTAGGATGGTAGCATACTAACATTTGCTTATTGGCCCTAATCACAAAGTACAGCTTAGGCTGATAAGAACACTATTAGTCCTGCAGGTATTTACTCATGATCCTAAGTATTGGACAAAATAAAAACGTGACCTGATGGTGGTGCTGGAAAAGTCAAGAGATCACCAAAGCTATTCATATTCATCCTGAGGGGCATATTCATATCCTCAACAAATGTCACTACAATCTATCCAATAGTTTGTGTCCAATAGTTCACTCAAAACCACAAATGTGAACATCAAGTTGGCGCTATAGAGGAAAAGTCAGGGTAACGCTTAAGTACCAAGATACAGTGCATGTGCCAATCTGACAAACAGATGTTACAGGATAAGTGAGAACATTAACCTGCTGGTGGCACCAGAGGAAAAATTGGGATCTGCAAAGTCATTGGCATTTGTCCTTTGGGCACCATGAATATTTGTACTAGTGTCATAGCAATTAATCAAACAGCTGTTCACTAAAAGCATCAGATTTCTACTGGTGGTGCTAACCAAAAAGTCAGGGGATCATTAAAGCCGGTAGAATTCATCCTCTGGGAACGAGGAACATCTGTACAAAACTTCATGGCAATCCATCCAATCCATATTTCAGTCTGGAACAAAGAGCTGGACAAACGGACATTGCCATATATGCCATGTAAGATTAACACACTTATTAAAAAGGCTAGATCTAAGATTGACTTGACTTATGATTATAAAAGGTTTTAGAGGAAAGAACGAGGAGTTCAAACCATATTTCAGTTTGAAGGACATTCCCTGATTTGTGATTTTATTAGTCTGTTGAGTCACTGTTTACAGATGCTATGATCCACTTCAGAAAGATTTAGAAAGTTGCTTCAAAGATATTGGTTTCCTTTGTTTGATTTTGTTTGTATTGTTTTCACAAATGTTAATTTCCAAAGTTTCATTTCATATTCATTAATTGTTTAATTGGTTCTGTTCTCAGGTGCACCTCTTATCATCTGCCTTTTATTTATCAGTTAATCAAATAAATACACAATGATTAAATACACTGTATGTTATTTGTGGCTAGGTGGGTTCCTAAGCAACACTAATGTCCTCTTGGAATATGTGTTATTTGTGTGTTAGTGTTACTACTGTTATGGCAGCATTTCTTGTGACTAGTTTGTTATTTGTCAGTGTGTGCACAGGCATCCAAAACTAGTGTACAATCTGAGGATTAAACTAAATAAACCAAAACTCGGGCCACTGTGTCGAAAAAACCTTAATACCACATTGTGTGTGTGTCTCAGTGTGTATCTGTGTGTTTGTGGTCTGGATTTCCCTCCTGAGCACTTGCTAATTAACGCTGGGGAAGGCATTGAGTGGCGTTTGGGCCTCTCCAACCACTTACTGTAGCTGCATGTGGTTGCCATCCAGCCAATCTATTCAGCAAAATGCTTCCTTCTTAAATAGGATCCAGCTATTGAGATTAATGCTGTGTGCAGGTATTTGTGTCCCTATTTAAAGCATTTATCGATCAGTGCGTCTCTGAAACTCTGTGAAAGTACCTCGCCAGCATTCTGACCCAGCACACTGACCACCTCCCTGAGACCGCACACACACTCACACCTCCACACACAAACCAGGAGGAACCCTCAATGTGAGCAGCAGCCCCTCGAGACTCCGCCAAGTGCTGTGGTCTGCAGGTACTGGAGCACTATTATTAGCTTTGTTTTCCTCAAACACACTTTCCCATCAATTCTATATGCAGTATAGCTAAACTCCACAAGGTTTGTACTGCACTTGTTTAACTTAAAAAAAAAGGTATACGCTGTCCAAAATCAGTTTTTTGAGTTATTGAAAAGTGGTTATCAAAGTTTGTAACTTTCTCACACTGCTGTACCTGTACAGTGAGTTCACTCAGTAGCAACATATCCCTACAATGGCCAATTTTTACTCCAGATAAACGTATTAAAACCAAACCACATCTACAGTAAAATTCACTTCTCTGCCGTTCATCCACATGCTCACTATGTTCTTAAAATACTAATTTTTCCAGTGTACTTGTTTCCGAATACAAAACATAATTTTGCCAAAATATAGCTAATTACCAGAAATGTGCACTTGAGACTTGACTCTACTCAAGATTTAAAGCTGCGCTAAGTAATGTTTTAAGTAATGTGCAAGGGATGATTCATAGTGACAAACCCACAGAATTGTCACCCAGCTTTGGTCACTGCTCATGAGCATTTTCAGAGCATCGTCTTTCAGCTTATTGTTTGGATTTTTATGGCTCGCCACTTAACTGTTTTGGTTCAGTCTCACCACCCTCATCAAACTTCCAGATGCAGCAGCTGTTTTAGCAAAAAGCTGCGATAAATCCAGCACTCGCACAAGACGCCTGACGGACAAAGTTAGCCACTAACCGGGGACCACAGTAAAGTGTATATCAGATGGTAAATTGTTGGAGTTGACAAAGCTGAGAGGAAAGCGAATATTTAGGTTACACTTGTCAGGGCACCAGAAACATGAAATGAATGCGTATGATGCTCC